TTATCTGTCTGTTATTGGTAATCTTAAAATTTTCGTGATTTACCGACGTGTTCTTATTCTCGCTATGTTCGAACGAACTGCTCTGTTTAAAAATCCTTTCTTTTTTGTCAAGTTGATGCAGCAGTAAGGACATTAAAATGTAACTGGGTGGATATCAAATCTTCTTCAAAACTGCTACCTGGTTAATAACCTTCCCTTGCATCGATGACACAAACACAGCATTATTCTCGTGCCTGATACGCATGTTTGACTATTTTTACAAGGTCCACCCCTGAACGGGGACTATAGAGGAAACATGGGAAACTAGATGAGTCAGAAACAGTGAGGACATACTTTAAGTAACACTGGAAGGACGGCAGATTTGTCTGCAGGCCGTATGCAAAGAAGAAATCCTTTTATCTTTGGGTCAGGTATTTGGAATGGTCTTTGAATTATCCACCCCAAAATTTGGTCAAAATGAAGACTTCGTTTTAGCCTTATAAAGGCTTATAAGTAACAGTGGCCGACCACTCTTCTGCGTTTTGAGAAAATTTCTCTGATAGCGGCACACTCAAATAGCAAATTCTTACCCTGCTTTTGGTAGCCACTAACTTCCAGTCTTATTCTGTGGACTAGTCATCATCGTTAACTATACCTCTCACCACACATTTTAGAGGGCGGTGGTTTACTTCACCGACTTGGTGGATTTTCTAAGCGATCTTTAAGTCAGTTTATAAGCAAATTTCTATGTGAGGGTTGAAAGAGTTGTTCACGAACTGTCCATTGTGTTGAGGCGTAAGGGGAAAAATAGCTTGCGTAAAATCGCTGAGCAAAAGGTATTAGCCCGAATCCTTGGATCACAACAGCTTCTTCTTTGATGCAACACTCTCTTCCTGTTACAACGTGTGCTAGCCGCTCCAAAAACAACTTCAGCCACTATTACCAAAGGGAAAGTACAAGTGTTTATTATAACTTTACGCCAGCTTAGTTTAAAAAATTAATTATAAATATATAAATAATTATATATTTACAAATATATATATATATATATACATAAATATATATATATGTATATAGTCTAGATTTGTGATTATTTAAGGCTGTTACATAAAAAAGGTTCTCTCAGCCAGAACTCGCTCTGTGATATGACTCAGGGCGTGAAATTGCGTCTAATACAAGCGCCAATGGGACTAAATTTTCCACTTTGGTGATCAAATCCTGAAAATTAGTCGCCATATTGGCGACTAGAATGTTTCATCATAACCGTACCAAGAGATTCAGTGAATTAAAAAGATTTGCAAAGATAAATCCGCGGCAAACTTCCTTGTTAAGTTTGTTTCCATAACACAGCACAAGCATCTCGATCGATAACTAGGCGCCATCTTGGAATTAGGTGAGCTTAAAGGTTGTATATCATCCATCCTAGTGTCCACTTTGTAGCGCGTTAAAGATCTTTTCCCTACCTTAATGTTGGAGGGTCTATCTAGAACGCTGAAATCGTAAAAAAAGGTTTTGTTTCTCTTTGAAAATGGCGACCAATTTTTTTTTGAATAGTCCATTTTACAGTTGTGTGCTTAGTTGCCAAGCCTTTGAACAGGAGTGAGGCTAAGGTTGACCTTGTTATGATACAAACCTTGTTGCTTTTCAAATGCAAATTACTTTGTTATCATGCTAACTAGATACTGGTCTCTATCACAACAAGGTCACTTTCAGCCTCACTCCAAATCAAAGGTTTGGCAACTAAGTACAGAACTGTAAAATGGCCTATTGGCTACCACTTTGAAGAATTTAGGAGCCAAGTGGCTATCAGAAAAACAAATTAATTTCACGTCCTGTGACTTTTTTTTTTTATTCAACATCTAATAATAACCCAAGGTTAGTGCGAAATGTGATTTCAGATTTCAGAAAGCTTTAAAAGAAAATGCAGTAAAATATTTTTTTGTCTACGATTTTATGATTTTATTGGGTGCTCTAAAGTATAGAAAAAATTAGGATCAATATCAGTATCTGGGCAACTGCCCACCTACCCCTCCCCTAACTCAATAATAGTCAATTGATAACAAGTTGAGGTTAATGTTGCGTTAGGGGAGGGGTAGGTGGGCAGTTGCCCAGATACTGATATTGATCCACAAATTATTCAAAAAGGGGCTTCTGAACATAGGAATGGAGAAACCTAGAATAAAATTTCACCTTAGGTTAGCGCCACTCGGCCTTCGAACAACTGGGCCCTAATGGGGTATGGGCGCAAATCCGAACAATCTACCCGACATTACTTAGTTACTGAGCATCACTCAGAGCTCATTCGGAAAAATGTCACTGAGTGAAACACAGCCTAAATGTCTACATAAAAAAGTTGGGCAAGTACCCTAGGTGTGATATTCTTGACCCTCAGTTTAACTGCACCCCCGTGAATTACAGAATTACCTCTTTCTCCCTTTATCTCTCTCTCAAACTGATCAAGGAAGGAGAAATGAAAGCAAAGATTGCCATAAAATTTACCACTAACATCTAAGAAGTCGCCAGCTAGGGGTTTCATGAAAGTATGATGACAACAAATCAGACTGAACTGATGAATACCTATAGATCTCCAATGAGAAGGGGAGAACTCGAAGGGGTGGTTTGATAGGGCATTTGAGAGGGAACTGGAACATACATTTGGGCTGTTCCCGATGTGTGGGACATTTTCTGCATGTTTTCGGCGGGTACCATCACTAAATGGCCCATGTACCCTTGGGGCACCATCACAGGTGAGCCATCTCGTGGTGCAGCTTGGTAGGTTGGTGCGCCAGTTGGGGCCTGAATACCTCCCTTGAGAATAAAAAAAAACAAGGCACAAATGACACAAAATGCATTAATATCACTGCAATTCGAAATTCTCCTGACTCATACATTCCCAGTTAGTTTGTAGCTTGTTAGAATGACATGTGCAAGTTTCCATAGAACGTGGCATCAACTATACCACTCAGTGACATAGAAACACATTTTCAACAATTGAATATTTTTCTGTTGTACACTTATTTGGAGTGAGGCTGAAAGTGACCGTGTAGTGATAGAGACCAGTATCTAGTAAGCATGATAACACAGTACGTAGCATTTGAAAAGCAGCAAGGTTTGTATCATAACAAGGTCAACCTTAGCATCACTCCTGTTCAAAGGCTTGGCAACCAACCACTCAACTGTAAAATGGACTACTCCAGTGATATTATTCATCATTCAACTGCATAAACAATAACTGTTCAGGTGACAAAGATACTCGATGGTCAAAGGGTGTATACGAAACCTCGACCCAAAGTGGTGTCAGCGATCTAGATAGACCCTCCAAAATTATGCTCTACAAAGTTCTACAAAGTGGACACTAGGATGGGTGTTATATAACGTTCAAGCTCACGCCAAAGATGGCGTCTAATTATCGATCGAGATGCATGTGCTGCGTTTTGGAAATTAAACAAACTTAACGAGGAAGTTTGCCGCGGATATCTCTTTGAAAATCTTTCATATTCTCTATATCCCTAGGTATGGTTATGACGAAGCATTCTAGTCGCCAATTTGGGGACTAATTTTCAGGATTTGATCGCCAAAGTGAAAAATTTAGTTCATTGGCGCCTGTATCAGGCGCAATTTCACGCCTTGTTCTTATAGTGTTAGCTCAGAGAACTTTAAAGTTATTTTTGTTTATATTTATTTAAGTTATTTATTTCAACTTTTAAGAATATTAAAATATTCGATCAACTAAATAATTCCTTTATTATCATCACTAGTCTGGTTGATATTGTAAGGAGAAATTCTATCTTGGTCACTTATGGGAGCAAAGGATAAAGTAGGGGCATTTATTCTATCACAGAATGCGTTTAGACCTTTAGATTTTGCGAGAACAAAGACATTTGATGGATTATTATGTTAAATAATTTTTTCCTTGGGAATTATTCCACAATATCAATACATGATCACATTTTGAAAAGGTATCATATTGCATAATGAGTACTTCACTACCTGAACAGGACCACTTGTCACAAAATTACTTCCTTGAACTTGCACTAAAGGCAAAGGGATTGTCATCTCTCTGTCAGTTGATTCCTCTACTGGGGCATTGACAAGCTTTCACAAAACAAATTGAGACAAACAGATCAATAAATGAGTGAATAAATAAATGAATGTGCAATATGTAAAATGACAATATATATTACAAAGGTAATTACAGATAAATGAATGAATCATTTATTAAGTGTATAAATTAATATGATTATTAACACAACAATCCAGTGAAAAGCAGTGGATACATTGATATTCAGCAATAAGGTATCTATTAAGTAGTTAAGAATCATAAAAATATCTTCCACATTAAGTTTATCTCACTATGATTTAAGTAAACCTATGATATAAGCTCAATGGTAAAGCAGTGTATGGTCATTTTCATACAAAGACCTCAACGAAGTCTCAAACATGTAAGCTGAAAAATTATGTCGTTAACCTATGTGGTTAAACATCTTTCTCTATTTCTTTACTGAGCTCAAAACTTACCATTTCCCTTATTCTATTTACAAACATGCTGCTATCGACATCACTGATCCTAGCAGTATGCAGGACGTGTGTCATATGAACTTTGCAATAGACCTCGAGTCTCTGTGGCTTGGCAGTAGAGCATCGGAGGTCTGAGGTTTGATACCTCATAGGGACTCAGAATTTTTTCTTTGTCCCACACTTGTGACAAGACAAAAAATATCTTTCTCTAATAGGTTACCTGTGAATAAGGGTTTCTTTCCATTGAGGCCATTGTTCCCAAAATAGAAAGGAAAATTTCAGTCATTGCCAACACAAAAATAGTGCCTACAATTGCAGTCTCATCAGTCTCATAAGAAAGGACAGTGATGAATAACCATCCATACCAGTAGGCTATGAGGCTACATAAGATGGAACAGAATATATTCATTGCTCTGTATGTAGCAACCTGTGGAAAGTGAAGTAGTACATGCAGCATTAACTTTTGTTTGCAATGTATTTAAAATTTGATCAATAAAAATCAATTAAGTACCCTTTAAATCTTAAGATAATAGATATGAAGTGCTTCTTCAGTGATATAGTACTGATAAGGTGATGTCTGAATTAATTTTTGAATTCTCAGTCAAAACAAACATAACATTGAACACATACATTCAAAAATTTATTCATCTGTGACAGCTTATTCACTCAACACCTATGAAGGGCTGTCTTATGTATGCTCCGCATGAAACCTCAGCCTACAGTTTGTTATGCACCATGCATCTGATAAAACCCTTTCCTTCTTTCACTTATCTTCGTTGTTTTCCGAATGAAATGATTTTGACTTTCTTACATTATGGATTTTTAAGAAGATATGAGAAAATAACAGATAATGGATCATGCATGATTGCATGGTTACAAACTTCCTAAAAATTTAAAATTGACTATGTGACCTGGATTCTTTTTCCTTCTTCTTGTCTTCCTTTTCCTTCAATTGTTCTCATTCAATAAGATCTTTGTAGTGAATTTCTTAATGAGACAAGAAAATCTTGTTTCTCACCATGCTAAAAAAATATGGGCTGTTTGCTTTATTCACCATCACAACGCCAACTGCTGCAGAAACCAGCAACTGAAAATTTGTGGAGAAAAATAAGCAACTTGAATTAAATTTGCACAAGTCATGTAATTATTGTACAACCTTGAGCTGCATGATGGCGTATGCATTTCAATTAAAAACTCAAGCCATTCTTTTTTTCATAATGCTTCAATAATTATGATTTTAAAGTTTGTCATTAACAATTCGCCAAGGTCGTTTTGTTCTTCACTGTGATCCATATACAGTTGAACATGATTAAGCGATCACCCATGGGTGACCGCTTAATGCAGGTTGGCCACTGAGTATACGTTCCACAGAGTAGGATTATTTAAGAAATACGATAAAAATCGCCATTTTTATGCCATAATGTACCTCTTAATGTGCAAAAAAAGTCGGTCAAAAATACTACTAACATTGATTTCGGGAGATAAACATGGATCAAATTTTAATTGAAAGATAATTCTTAGTTATAATTATTTCAGTAGTTTCACTGTAGGTGACCGTTCAATATAGGAAGATGATAACACAAAAGGGCCGTTAGGATTCAGTTATGGGTGACTCTGACCCTAAATAAAGGTGACCGCTTGATAGAAGTGAAGGTTACAATAATTACGGGATAATGATTTCAGAACTTTCAAACTGACTGCTTATTACAGGGTAACCGCTTTATAGAGCTTGGACGATAACATCTTTATGCGCACATTATCTCTTCAGTCCCTTTCCATCTTCACACTTAAGCGTACACTAATATCATTTTTCTAATTCGATGTTAGCTTTGTAAGGCGAAAAAATGGGCAAAATTATGATTAAAAGAGGAGCAGAGCTTGCAACAAACGATGGCGGAAAATAATCGAATGTCTGTTTTGGCTCGGAAATAGTATGTAATATCAGTACTATGTGACTTTTTGCTTCGATTGAATTCTTCAAAATAGTAGCCATCCGATTTGGTAGGATAGTGAGGATGTTTTGACATGAATTATTTTATTTTACGTAATTTACGATTAATAGCATGTTTCTTGAAACGAATGCGAGTCTTAAGTCATTCAGCGTTTTCTTTACGGCAGTTTGTATACTTACCAAAAATCCCGTCCAAATTGGCATTACAATACGGCTGACATTAGAGTCCGTTTTTACTCGATCAAAGACTCCTGCTGTTATCATTGCCAACGCCAAAAGTGCTTGCAGGGTGGAAACCAAACCGCGTATGAGATTGGGAGACAACACCGCCATGACAGTATAGTAAAAACTAATAGCCACCCACGCAACAGTGTTACAGCTTGGATCGCGAATATTACGGCTGTTGTTACCAGACCTCCTGCGCGTTTCGACGGAATCTCTTACCGTGACTTAAGGTTTTCGAGAGCTCTTAGGCGATACAAGAACATCGCTATTTACGTGAATAGTCGTTAATGGGGTTCCGATCCCAGTGAAAATAGGCTGATTTGTTTTTCGTGACTACATGATCACCGGCGACAGTCTAGACGGTGTTCTAGAGCTCGGGCCGGAGCATAGAATTTTGGCGTGTGTGTCAACGAAAAGCACCGTTTTCGACTGAAGCATAAGTTATCCAGTTAATATCAAAAATAGTAATAAGCCATACCGAGAAATGAAATCAAAAGCCTTTATTTCCAGAGTATTTCCGGTATTTTCCCGTGATACAATTCAATGAGATAAACCCGACCGAAAAAAACCCGATGACAAACTTGCCGGAGGGCTAAAATTACACTTAGCCTCATGCTGCGTTTGTTGATACCTGGATACCCGAGTACTTTCCTTGTCATTGTAGCAAGTATCAGGACGTAAAGACCACTTAACCTTTTCTGCGTCACGGGATTTTCACATTTCTTTTCATGGGAGTTTGATCTTTTCTTCGGCCAAGTTAATGCGATAAGCCAATGTAAAAATACTTTATGAGCAATGGCAAGGGTAAGCATGAACCAACCCGCGCCACGCCTTCACCATACCTTTGTGGCTAATGAATCCAGAGTACAAAGACTGATCACAGCTCAAGAAGTGCTACTAGAATACAGCCTGTTTATTATTGTGCTTGGTTGCTTTGCTGGGGTCATATTGTGCTTAGAGGTGGTACGAAAGATGGCCGTATTTCTTGATGGAAGAAACATCGGTGTATGAATCAAGTTCTTCGAGCTCCGATTCAGTCATCATCATGAAAGATATCGATCCCGTGTAACCTCCAATATGTAGCTGATATTAGACTGCGGAAGAAAAAGGAAAGCTTATAATCAATACTGGGAAATGCTATATTTTAAAAGTGCCCATCGAGAACTTTGGGAAACGCCAACTGTGACTTATTCGTGGATAATAATCGGTTGAAGCTTACGCCTTGATGTGTCTGTTACCATACTATTAACAATGTATTCCACCCTGAGTGCTGGTAGACTTAAATTACCTCATACATCAGAGAGAATGCGATTTGTGCACTGGTGGTATATACACTTTATCCTCTGACTCAGTCGATTTTGTGTTTTAACCAGAAATAGAGATGACTCTATTCATTCAGACACTTGAACTTTAGAATCACGCTACTGCACTACTGTGAACACTAGTCAGATGTCTAGGAATGTGTCAGAAAGTTAGGTCAAGTAAGCTTCTGTACATCAATTCAACAAAGAGAGAGTGCTTTGTGCATCTAATGACTGCCTGCCTGCAACAACAGGCATTGCAGTGCTTGCCATTTGACCTGAATTAGTTTTCACCTCCCCGTCACCTCCCCCTTCCCTCTATCCTCTCCCTCAACCCCAGGGATAGTTATTACAAACTCGATTTTTCCACTTTGAGTAGAGAGAAGAGCTGACAATGTTTACAATTGTTCCTTAAATCTCTCAGACGAATTACGAAAAATCACGTTTCGGAATGTCCATCGTAGAAAGTATCGATGAATAGCTTTATTTCTTAATCAAGAAATGCAGTTCGTGTTGATAACAGTGCTCATGTTTTCTATTTTGTTTGACAATTTCGCTGTAATCCTTTACTTATTACAATATCTTCTTCGCACAAGCCTAATTATTTCATCTTTTTTTATTTTGCTCTGATTTTTTGTTTTATCTATTGGATTACCGAAATTACAAACGTAATTACACATTACTTTCTTTCTCTCTGATGCGTACCTTTTGTTTAATTTGATATTTGTCCTGGCGTGCACATATGAGTGTGTCGACTTAATGCTGTTCTTTTACCATAAATGTCTTTGTAGATGAATTAGACAGATCAGGTAAAGAGGACACATGCCCACGATGAGTACCGCGGACAAGAAAATAAAAAAACATAAAAACAAAAACAAAATGAAAAAAAAGGCGGTTGCCAGAATATAATGAGTCATTTGTAAAGGTTTATAATAGCATCTGATTACCTTGAGTTATAACTGATTGACCAAATTATACCAAAAACGTTTGTTTTTCATGTTATTTAGGAACAGGACACTACATTTTTTGCCATCACTCTCTGAGACTTGAAAACATATCGTTTTTCTTTACGGTGTGATATTTTATACCTTACTTAAGATTATTGAAGTCTTCTGTCAAAACGGCTAAAGCGAACCACTTTGATATGGCGTTACTTCAGATCCACTTACAGACGGGTGAATAGAACCGTTTAGTTATGCTTTATGGTTAGCACCGAGATAAACAACTACGGCACGTGGAGCACCATGTACTCTTTACAAATATTTACATTCTATTGGTCAATATTAGATCGACTGATCTTTGGAACCCGTCGCCCACACCATCAGACTTTGACCTCGGCTCACGTTTTTGATACTGATAACAAAATGTTCAAAGTGGGTAAAAAATGCTACTGCTAAGTGGAAAATTTTGTAGCAGCAACGTTGGATGCTCAGGTAATTATGATTGATTGCTTCAAGCGGCTAAATGTGCTGCTTCAAGGTTCTGTAGTGCAACATTCCTTCGACAACGTTTCGGTTATTCGGTTTCCTTATGCAAAGTGAGCCGGTTTTTCAGTTTTTTTCATGGGATTTGTCCCCATTTAAAGTATTGACGAGATTCGAAGGTTTTGACATTCAATCGTAAGTTATTTTTGGTTAAAGTGTATCGAACGCTTTGGTTTAAATTAGTTGTTGTGCTCTGTTCCATTACTTGCTTTAAGTCTTGACATGATTGTTTCTCTGAGCACTTACCAAAAATTTACTCCTGATCTCACAGATTTCTCCATTTGTGAGTCAAACAAACACAACTGGGCAGAGGAGGTCAACGTGAGCACTTGATAAGTTGCCCGATTGGAGGGTGAAGTAAACATCAACAGTTTTGATCAGACAGACTTTGCGAAGGGAAACTCACACGATGAAGATGAAGGTAATGCAAGGAGAGACATGGGAGTCCCTATAATTTTTAAAGAGAAGAACAGATGCGTTTTCTTTGTTTCGCATCCTCTTCCTTTTGCTTGGTTTGTCTTACTTCTCGCTAACTGCACAATTTTTAAACCTTCATTTATCAAACTAAATCCCATACCATGATATTCCCTGTTCCTATACCCTGATATTCCCTGTTTTGTCCTTTTTGGTAGAGCGACGTGCACGCACTCAATTATTATTCAGCATGGGTACGGATTCAGTTCTCTTTTCCGTACTGTAGCTTCGAGTATTTGATCCCAAAATAATGTAGAGCTTCTATTTGATATTTCCTATTCTGTTGGTTTCTGTGTAAAAGCAACATTTTTTTCCATCGCGTAATCTTTCCAAATACCTGCTGTGATGGACCCATTGGATTTTTTAACAAAGTAAAGCTGAGTCTCTGTTTTCTGATAGATCACCTCCTCACACACTCGAGAGGAATCGAGTGCACGACAAAGCTATCAGTTACTAAACAGCAATAATGTCCAAGTAAGAGCGTTCAGAACTGAAGATCTTCATAAGTGCCAAGAAATTTTTACCCAAGGTATGGTGCAGTTGATCAGTTTGGTACTACGTGTTGTATTTCCGAGATACATATGGCTTACCTCTGCATCAAGCTTCTTCGTTCTTGTTCTTGTCATGTTATTCCAGTGGAGAAGCGCAGTCTTTCTGCTCTACATCCTTATCTGTGCAATTACACTTTCAATGTTGTACATCCATGTGTACATAGAGTGTTGGAAGTTCATCAACTCATGTTTGGCAACAGACTTGAAGGACATTGAAAAGGTTTACATGACCAACAATGGATGTCACATGTGGGTAGCTGAGTGGAATGGTAAAGTTGTAGGAATGGTTGGACTCGTTCATAATGAGAACCAAAAACCTGGAATGGCTGAACTTCAGAGGATGTCTGTATCACCAGCCTGTAGAAGAATGGGAATCGCCGGGAAACTTCTCGACGAACTCCTGAATTACGCCAAGGATCAACGGCTAGAAAGACTTGTACTCACCACAACTAACGCACAGACACCGGCCATTCGACTTTACAGGAAATATGGCTTCAAACTGGTGGCAGTTTTCTCTCACCCCTACAAGACTCTTACAGATCTGCAATACCACTGCTTTGAACTGCAGCTGTGAGACAATAATTTTGCAAACAGAAAGTCCATGCTAAGACATCAGCTGCTTACGCCCCCGGACTGAATGGGACACAACTAACGGCCAGAGCAATCTTGCATTTAGAGTAAATAAAGGCTAATCGTCGCATTCGGTGGATGATTGACTGTTGAAAATGATCGCTATAGTCATTATAAACATCAGAACTGCAACCTCAGAATACGTTGAACTCTTAGTTTTCCACACAGCCACTTTTAAGGGATGTCACGCAACGCCTCGCCTTGCCTCAACCCCCTCCTCCCCTCTTAAAAGATCATTCTTTGGAGAAGGTCGTTGATTGACATTCAAAAATGAGAGACAGAAAAAAAATAATAGACTTCACACTGATAAGAAAGTCAATAAATGACTCCGTTATTCCTATATGAAATTTGTGAAACAGTTTGATGTGGTTTTGTTTCTTCTCCTTAATCGCAATATGCTCTTCATTCCCTGTGGCACTTAAAGCATATATAGCCCTGATTTATGCAGCATGTTGTTTATTACCCTATGTGAGTTTTGCCTCACTGAGTTCAGCCACGACAGTTCGGTGGCAGTTGGTTTTTCGGCAGACCAAGTTTCCCATAAAGAAGGGAGCATTCTTGGAAAAAAGGCTAGAACACTAACAACAACGAGAAGAAACAAAATAAAGATGGCGCACAAACCAAGAAAATCGAATGCCGTGCCTTAGAGTGGGGAATTCAGTATTATCAACTGAGTGGATAACGTAAATTTGCCACGGTAAAGAGTTTCAAAGCTAACGTTTCGAGCGTTCGCCCTTCGTCGTTCACTCTTACGAAGG